AGGCAATTCTCTCTAGCAACTCCGATCTTGTCATTTCCACTCGAAACCTCCAACAACACATCATACTATTAGAGTCTTGGTGTAAAAAGAAAAGGATAAAATTTAACACAGAAAAATCCACCCACATTACCTTCACTCTTCGTAAAAAGATCCCCCCCCCCTGTTTTCTTAAACAATACTCCCCTCCCAACTGCGGACAAGGTGCGGAACCTCGGATTGTACATCGACAAACGCCTGACGTGGAATCCTCACACAAGACTGAAACGTCAGGAGGTTATGACACGATTTAGAATTCTTGTACGACTTCTTGACAAACGCTCTAATTTACCTCTCAAAAAGAAAAGGCTGTTTTACAACACCATAGTTAAGCCGATTTGGACTTACGGACTAGAAGTGTGGGGTTCAGCCAAACATTCCAATATCCACCGCTTTCAAACTGCCCAGTCTATAATACTACGAAAAATACTAGATGCTCCATTTTATGTATCGAACCAAACTACACATATAGATTTACATATTCCTTTCGTACAAGATGAAATACGTTTCCGTTACCGTAAATTTCATAAAAACCTCCCAACTAACGTAAACCAACACATCAGAAACCTCGCATCCCGACGAATCCCCTCAAACCCTCCTCGCCGATTGAAGAGACAATGGCCGCGAGATCTCCTAGGAAGTGATGATGATGACAGTGAAAGTGATAATGACACACGTATCAATTGAACAAACAATATTATTGTAACATTGGAGTAATACCAATGGGTGTTTTCTCCACTCTTGGTTTTAATTTTGTTTTGTTTTAATTACCTTTCTCACTGTTACTTATTACCTACTTTAAGGTAGTTGTAATGTACAACAAATTATATTTTAAAAAAAATTGGCACATTGAAGTTTTATTTTATAATATTTTGGAAAATTATTGTAAATTGGTTGTGACTTCGGTTCCACGACATCCAACGGACGCAAAGTTCCCATGTGTGACAGGAGATACTTTACTTTTACCAGGAACATCAGCCAATCATCGATGATCAAATATCGAATAACCAATAATCAAACCATAGTTGGTCAAAAATCGAACATAAACAGAAATCATCAATAGTATAAAAAAAACCACATTAACTAAAAACATCAATAATTGAAACTAAACTATCGAAGCTCACGTCGTTCGTTAATATTACCGACATTCATAGACAAACATGAAACATCAACTACTCTTTGGTTGAGTAACACCTAAAATCCGTTTAAAATACCAGCCACTTTCACTTAATTCCTGCTAAAGCTTTTTCACAGATTGAATTTAAATTTATATAAGCTCAAATCTCCACGTGTACAGAGTTGCACCTATCCCTTCTCGCAGTCAACGAGTTGCAACTTTACAAATGATTTACAATAAATTACGAGCAGGCCTCGAGAACCACCCACCTCGGGTGTTAGCCGGTCATACTTCAGGCTTATCTTTCCAGCCACCGAGGTTTGGCTCCGGGGAGGTCAATATCAAGGTCAATTCAGCATCCAACGCATGCAGTTTCTAGATCAAAAGTTGTACCAGACTTCAAGTCTTAAGGGCTCCTGTGTACTTCAAGCCTTGGCCCGTTCTCACAATTATCTGGAGAATTGGTGGACCCAATTAACACCCCTGTGGTTTTTTCCTCTTTATTAGTTTTACCTTCAAGAACTGTCAGTATTGTTTGTTTTTCGATGTGTATGGAATATTCTTCTTTCTGTAAATAATACAAAATTTTTCCTCATTGGAACGAGTTGTGTACAAAAATATAAATTAATAAACAAATGTGACGTATGAAAAGTTAACTATATAAGAAATGGCAATGTTATTTCTCTTTGTACCAGTTGTAATAATAAAACTGTTGATTGTCGGAAAGCACGAACGGTCCTTGTAAACACGGCAGACCTTCAGTTAAAAACGAACTCATTCCCCACTGTAGGTCAATCAACCATTAATGTTACAATATCAGCCTAAAGATAAGACGGTCTGCTTGGAACAAGTTTTGCCAGAATGTATCCTATTACAATTGGGTTTGTTCAATAACAAGAAGAATTTGTGTTGCCTTTAAAAAACAGGAATCATGATGACTAATGGTCATGTTTATTGAACGATCAGGTTAAAATGATGATAACATGATTATTGTAAGAGGTAAATAATTTTAGATTAAACATGTCATAATTTATTCTTTAATAGAGCTTGCAACACACAAGCCAACGGCGATTAACGTATCAGCCATATCAGAATCATTACTGACTGATTCTAAACTGTGCTAATGATTTCTCGTGTAAAACAATGGTTGTATATTTTAAAATAAAGTAGATATGACTCTTCGGTATAATTTTGTAACAATGCACATTATCTAGGATCAGATCGATATTGTCTTGACTATGTGATTCATACGCCCACGAGTAGTTTCCTAATCTGTTCAGATCGTTAGTCAAACATGACGGAAAGGGTTCGGAAAGTCATACGGGACGAATCGATTTAAGCGATTTGAATTTTGGAGACTTTTAAATAAGTTGATTACTTTCCTTAGAGCAGTACGAATAATTTAAAAAAACTTGTTATGATTTAACTTGATGAATTCTTAGCAAATTTAATGGTGATTCAAACCGGGTTATTTATC